TGAACAGAAAATTTCAAAGGGCAGGTTGAGAAGACAAAGTAAAGCATTATAATGAAATGTGCAAAGCCTGGAGTTAGAAAACCATAAGGAAAGAACACACTTGGCATTTCTCAAGCTGAAGGAACTGGGGAAAAAAGAAGTAGAAGAAAGAAAAGAAAATCAAGCCTTGAGTAGCAATGTTGAAAGATTCTATGAGCAAAATATTGAACAACAAAGAAGATGGAAGGAATACACAGATTCTTGGTACCTGAAAAAAAAATGGTTGACACTCATACATTAGAGGATTGAAGAAAAAAGTCCAAACTGCACTGAAGGTGAAAAAACAAGGCTCCAGGAATTGACCGAATACCCACTGAGATGTTTCAACAACAGATGAAGTGCTAGAAGCAGGTGCTCACTTGTCCATGCCAAGAAATTTGGAAGATAGCTAGCTGACCAAACAAGTAAAAGAGATCTATAGTTGTGCCCATTCCAAAGAAAAGTCATCCAACAAAGTATAGAAATTATCAAACAATATCATTAATATCACATGCAAGTGAAATTTTACTGAAAACAATTAAAAAATTATTGCAGTAGTATGTGACAGGGAACTGTCAGAAATGCAAGCCATATTCAGAGGAGGGTGTGGACCAAGTGATATTATTCCTGTTAGATGGATCTTGGCTGAAAACAGAGAAAGATATTGACCTGTATTGACTATGCAAAAGCATTAAACTGTGTGGATCATAACCAATTATGGATAACATTGGGAAGAATGGGAATTCCAGAACACTTAATTGTGCTTATGTACATAGACCAAAAGGCTGTCATTTGAACAGAACAAGGGGACACTGCATGGTTTAAAATCAGAAAAGGTGTGCATCAGGCTTGTATCCCTTCAAGGACTGTATTTATTCAATCTGTATGCTGAACAAATAATCTGAGAAGCTGGACTATATGAAGAAGAACATGGCATCAGGAATGAAGGAAGTCTCATTAACAACCTGCAATATGCAGATGACAACCTTGCTTGCTGAAAGTGAAGATCACTTGAAGCACTTACTGATGAAGATCAAAGACTACAGCCTTCAGTGTGAATTACACTTCAACATGAAGGAAACAAAAATCCTCACAACTGGACCAATAAGCATTTTTGTGATAAATGGAGAAAAGAGTGAAGTTGTTAAGGATTGCGTTTTTCTTGGATCTACAATCAACACCATTGAAACAACAGTTGAGAAATCAAACAACATATTTCATTGGGCAAATCTGCTCACAAAATACATCTTTAAAGTATTAAAAAGCAAAGAAGTCACTTTGAGAATTTAAGGTTTGCCTGACTCAAGCGATGGTATTTTCAATCACATCATATGCATGCCAAAACTGGACAATGAATAAAGAAGACTGATGAATTGATACCTTTGAATTTTGGTGTTGGGGAAGAATATTGAATATACCATGGACTGTCAGAAGAATGAACAAAATCTCTCTTAGAAGAAAAACCAAAACATAAAAAAAAAAAAAAGCAAACTCTCTGCTGTGGAGTCAATTCCAACTCATAGTGACCACCCCTCCTTGGGTTTCCAAGGAGGAATTTTTTCGGAAGTAGATTGCCCATTCTTCCTTCTGAGGAGTGGCTGGTGGGTTTGAACCACCTTCTGCTTAGCCATCAAATGCCTTAGGCATTATGCCACCAGAGCTCTTAGAAGAAGTACAACCAAAATGCTCCTTAGGAGAAAGGATGGTGAGACTTCATCTCACATACTTCTGACATGTTATCAGTAGGGAACAATCCTTGGAGAAGGACATCATACTTGGAAAAGTAAAGCATCATCCAAAAAGAGGAAGACCCTTAATGAGATGGATTGACACAGTGGCTGCAATAAGGGGCTCAAACACAGCACTGACAGTGAGGGTGGGGAAGGACCAGGTAGTATTTCATTCTGTTGTATATAGGCTCTTTATGAGTCCTAACCTACTCAAAGGCACCCAATAACATTAACAATAGATCTAGAAAGTATAGAGTGATTTTATCAGCATGAAGCTGCTAGTTGTTTTTTTTTTTTTAGATGAAGCACATTGAAGTGTCCTTTCTAAATAACTTAATGTGACTGTGTTGTTGCATGTCAGAATGATGTCTATTTCTTTTTTTAGCTGCTAAAAACTATTGTGTGTAAAAATCTTGTGATATAAAACTAAATGAAGCAAGGTAATTACTCATTGCCCTGGCTACCAATGTTAGTAGGAAA